CGAGTGTGGCTCGGGGTTACCGCTTTGTTAACCCCGAGCCACACTCGGGAATACCAATGGATACGCGCTGAAATATGCCCCAAAGAAGCTCCTGTACTATTTCGGGCGTAGGGCGTTTTCAGCGCGACAAATCGCACTGAAATACGCCCAGGTGGGAACCATGCCCATAGGGATTCATAGGATTTTACTGCTTGAACGTTTTTCAGCACTTCGATCAGCACTGAAAAACGCCCAGGTGTGAACCCAGCCTAAATGATGTCTCTTAATCTGATCTTCTTTCCTGATGTTTTCATCTGTCCCTCCAGCGGTGCGGTGGCTCTCCGATCCAGCGCTGACTCCTCTCTGCTTGCTGGCACTTCCTGTACCACGGTGTCTGCATGCGGTCCACGCGTCCATAGACTTACTTTGCATCTCTCCTCGTCTCCCGGCCAACAATCCGAACTGCGCATGCGCCCACCCCAAGGTGCTTTGCGGCCGCCCGAGCAGTTTCGGATTTTCTGACGGGAGCGCGCGGCGAAGACGGGGTAAGTTTAAACCACTGTTAAAGCGTTTTTTTTTGCTCTACTGCTTACTAGCAGAAGATATATGCAAAAAAAACTGAGGCTTTAGAAACCCTTTAAAAATGCATTCAAGTTCCTTAACTATTAACAGAAATGTATCTTGTGTATCACTCATCTGTAGGTCCTCAAATCATCTCTGAATTGGTGCTGACACTGTACTTCCTTCTGAAGGGGGGCTACTTTTGTTCACCATGGTCCCTGTGTGTGTTGTAAAGTAGCCAATGCTGCAAGGTCGCTCATGTGATGGACTACAATCGCATGTATAGTTTACTATTTTGTATTGAGATTGTAGTCCATCAGCTTTTTAATAGTGTTTTAGTTTATATCAGTTAAGTTATTTTCAAACACAAGTTTTGTTTTGTTTTTTATTTTGTAAAAAGGAAACCAAAAAGATATAAATATATATATTTTTACAGAAGTCCAGTAGAATGCAGGAGACTGTCTGAAAGGAAACAGGCCAGAGAAAGCCCACAAGACCATCTTACAAAACTAACAGACCAGAGCAAGTGTTCAAGCCAGAGTAAGGAGTCTTCCAATGACTTATAAAAAGCAACCGAAACTTTCCCTTATGTCAGAAAACAAGATCTCCAGACGAAGAACCTAATCTGCAGTAGCAGTGGGAGACCAAATAATGACAGCAAAGAAGACTTTGCAGAAAGACAATTTTAGCAGTATAAGAGACGGGCATGAATGGAAATAAACAGTCAGCAGTGAGACAGCTTCTATCAAGAGGCTTTCTGGAATTTCCTGTAATCCGTTTATTGCTTGGTTTACTTGCATCTCCAGTCTCACTGCTGCACTTTCCTCTTCTTACCTAAGTATCTCTGTGATTTTATCTCCTCATGCTCCACTTACATCAAGCTGTATCCGAGTGGCCTTTGGAGCTGCAGGTACAGGATCTTCAGCCGCTTCCTCTGTAATTGGTCCATTAATCCATATATAGACGTTAAAGCACAATTGATGTGCTTGGCTCATGATTTTAGTCCATTTTGAGGTTTACATATATATAGCGGATAAATCGAAGTGATGCTGTGAAGCTGACAGTTCCAAGCATGAGAAAGAAAACATATGCCGTTAGGAAAGAGTAACCAAAGAATTCTACACTTTGAACCACCCCTGACATGTTAGACCGACGCCAGTAGTAAAAGACAGAGTAGAGAAAGATAAAAGCTCCAGTAGATCCCGTGCTTAGAATTGATCGCCACCACCACCGATAATCTTCACCTGACAGCTGGAAGTATGTCAGTGCCACAGAAATACAGGCGCCTACACTCAGTAGAATGGCAAATACGATGAACAGAATCCCATACAGTGTGTACTGCTCTCGGCCCCAGACAGTAGCAAAAATGTAATACAGCTCCACAGAGATTGCACTGTAAAGAAACAAAAACAATTAGTGCCAAAGAAACAAAGAAAAACTGAAAAATGCCAATAAAACATGTCAAAAATATATAAAACTAAGAATGACTAACTACAACCAAGATAATAAGGGTTCATTCACATGGGCGTGCAGAAACCTGCTCCCAGGAGGGACAAGTGATATGTACAGTGGCATAACAATCACCATAGCGTCCCAGGCGGCCGCTATGGGGCCCGGAGCACAGTGGGGCCCGGCCAGATGCCGTGCGGGCCACCTGGGTCGCTATGGCATCCTCTGCTGGTGGCTTTCACTGGCGGCTCTGAAGAAGAATGCGCTGCTGTTCAGATCACTGACAGTAATCTGTGCAGCAGCGCGTTCCTCTCCACAGAGTCAATGAGAGCCAGCAGCGGCGGTAGAGCAGGCTGGACCCGGCAGGGCCCATGGTCGGCAGCAGGGGAGGAGGCGGGCACGGTGACGGAGAAGGAGGCGGGCCCCGGCGATGGTGGAGGAAACGGGGGCCCTCAAGCAACGTTACAGGAAAAGGAGGCGCCTCCATCAGAACCAATCAAGGAGGCGTGACCTCAGAAACGCGTAAACCATCAGGGAGGACGAACAGCCGGCTGGCTAAGTCCATCGTGTAAAGATCCTTTCATGCCTGTTTTTACTCGACCTTTGCGAGTACCATTGCACTTGTTTTTATCTTGTTTTAATAAAAAGTTTTTACGCGATGGAGGCGCTCTCTGTGTTTTGTTTTGCAGTGCTGAGGTTTCCCTAAACCTAGTGAGAGCTGCCTCGTTAGCGTCTTACACCACTATCATTGAAGACTGTCCCCTTTCCTGGACTTAAGCCGTTGGCGCTGTGTTATAAATTGTCTGTTAGGTAAGGAGTGCGACTAGCCCACCTGAGGGTGACCCTGCATGGCCCACAATAAAGAGTCTATGGTGGGCTGTGTGGGATCTCAAGTGGGCTCTGCACGGGGTATAACTAGAAATCACGGGGCCCCATGCGAAATTTTGCTATGGGGCCCTGTGATTTCTAGTTACGCCCCTGGATGTGTGTATTTGAGTACGGATGTGAATGAGCCCTACATGGACATCTCAACATCAGCTCTTGAATAAAAATCTGATCTGATTTTTTACAAATGGTGAAGAGATACACTAGGGCTTACTTTGGCCATAAAAAGAGCAAATCAACCAAATCAAAATCCATGTTGTACAGGTCTGATTTTAGGTTAAGAGAATTCAAATTGTTGCTCTGGGCTACTGAACTTTGCACTTAGCGTTATGCTCCTTGCACTGTTTACGGACAAAACAGCCTAACCACCAAATACCCAAATTTGGGAAAATTCAAAACTACTCTTGTAATGGGGCTATCCCCCACTGCAAAATTGAAATGCTAGTTTTTGTCTAGGGCACAGTTAAAAGCAGTTTTATCCCTTATCCATCACTCCTGCAGGCATCTTTCTCTCCGAGTGACTGGTCCCCTTTACAATTTTCAGGTTTATTGAGCGCTGATAGTATAGCTATAGCTATACTTCCTACGCTCCAACACACTAGACCTTTGAATCTCCTACAGAGCAGCTGTCCTGTTTGCCTGCCCCTCCACTTCTCTTGCCCAATCAGTGACACCTTATATTCTCTGAAGAGCAAGGGCAAACAGTGCGGCTTGTATGTAGGAGTGCCAGAGTACAATAAAAGCTATACTAATGGTGCTCAATAAAATGTAAATTGTAACCAAAAGAGAGAAAAATCACTCAGCCTCATAGTTCGAGCCGATGTGCGACAATGAAACTGTCACAGGTCGGCTTAGTAGATCGGGAAGTGAGCGAACACATACCGTCGCTCGCTCACTTCTCGATCTATCCCTGCAGAGAGCCGTGACCGTCACTCACGGCTCCCTGCAGGGATTCCCCCCCTCTCCTGTCTGATCCTCCAGCATTGACTGGTTGAACGGACGGGGGAGGGGGCGGGTACAGCTGGCTCTGCCTCTAGATAGGCAGAGCCAGCTGTCAATCACGCAGCTGGGTGGATCTCGACAGTAATGTCGGGATCCGTCCCGGCTGCGGCGTCTCAGTATACCGCGAGCTGTAGCTCGCGGTATACTGAGCTTTGGGTCACAGAAGGACGCTAGTTTGTGTCCTCCTGTGACCCTTAGGAGAACTATGGGGAAAAACACTGACTCCATAGTTCTCATTTAAACCCAGTTAGTATTCTCCATTTGAGAAGGCAGCACAAAGTACAATTAAACAAAAAGTACCTAAACGGTAGGAAGCCTCCTATAGCCATGTGGACTGGCGCTGACTTATACCAAGGTTGGGAAGGGATTTCTCGAGCAATGTTCTTGGTCCGACATGGAGCCTCAAAGTTTCCTGCACTATTTTTACCGAAGATTCCTCCAATTACAGTAAGCGGGAATCCAACTAAGAGCCACACAGTGAGAAGCAAGAGGATTGTGGTTGCTGGAAGAGCTTGTGTTGAGCCATTGGCCCAATGAACTGAATTCACTACACTCCAGGTCAGGAAAAATGGGGCTGGAAGACAAATGTAAAACATTATTTGTGGACTACCACATACACAATATATATATATAAACACTTCAGTTAGCATATTATTTAGAACACACCTATTAGTAGGAAAAATTTACTTGATGTTTTATCTATTGCACAAAGTAAAGTTTGAAGGCAAGTTAGCATGCATCATCGACAAAATAAAACCAGAAAGAGTGTGTGTGTGTGTGTGTGTCTATTCAGAATACAAACACATGTGTTTTTGGAAAAGTCTATGGACATTTTTTTTGAAAACTGAACAAATATTCTTTATTTAAATCAGCACATGTTTGTCTATTCATGATGAACACAGTAATTTTGGAAGCAAGCTCAGGTTGCTCTTTGCCTCCTCTATGGCTCTTTAGGGCATTCTCAGATCATGTTATTCCTGTGAAAAATACCTACCTTAAGTAGCAAATATCAAAAGTACAAATCAATGCAGCTCTGTATTGTTTAATACAATTTTGTAGTTATATGCAAGTTTAGATGCAAGCAGTGTAAGTACTTATTTGTCACTTGGTATCAGCCTTATGCAATCCCATTTACAGCAGAGCTCAGACTGGGAGAGAGAGACGTAGCAAAAGAAGTCTTTAGGGAGTGCTGCAGTGTGCATTTACTAGGGCTGCAACAACTAATCGACATAATCGATTATTGAAAAAGTTCTCAACTTTTTCAATCATCGATTAATCGGCTTCTGATTGGTTGGCCCTGTTTACGGCTCCACACACGCTGCGCGCCGCACCTCCTCCCCACCTCACGGTCGCCGCTGCCAGACCCGCCCACCAGCATCCACGCTCTTCACGCCGCACCTCCTCCCCGCCTCACACTCACCGCCCGCCCACATCCACGATCGGCACAGGGACGCGGGGAGATGTAGTAAGGAGGAGCAGGTGTGGGGGGATGACAGCCGCCGATAGACAGGTCCGATCTCAGAAGCAAGTTGCTGGAAGACTGCTCAGGTAAGCCTGCACTTTCCCACACATGGTGCTCTATAATGTATTGCTGGGATTTGTATTCCTCTATAGCTGATGGTACATTGTGCTGTATATTATACATGGGAATACAAATCCCAGCAATACATTATACACTGTATGTATAGTGTACTATTGCTGGGATTTGTTGTACTTCTCTATAGCTGGGGGTATTCTGCATTGCGCTGTATAGAGGACTACAAATCCCAGCAATAATGCATTATACAGCGCAATGCAGAATACCACCTGCTATAGAGGAGTACAACAAATCCCAGGAATACATTATACAGTGGTGCAATGCCGAATACCACTAGCTATAGAGGACTACAAAACCCAGCAATAGTACATTATACAGCGCAATGCAGAATACCGCCAGCTATAATGTACTATTGCTGGGATTTGTTGTACTCCTCTATAGCCGATGTCATTCTGCATTGATTGCTGTATAATTTTACACTTTCCATTTCACTATATTGCACACCACACTTTTGTTTTCTTTTTTACTTCCACCGCTCCAAGCTTGCTCCTGTGATGGACTACACTCAATACAAACGAGTAGTCCATCACTGGAGCCATTTTTTAGAATGTATTTTATGTTTTATCCGATTAACCGATTAATCGAACTTAATAATCGGCTAACTAATCGATTTTGAAAATAATCTTTAGCTGCAGCTCTAGCATTTACTAACAAAGAGCATCCTGACAGGAGGAGAGGGCAGAATGACAGAGGGATGAGCTCATCAGTGTACCGATTCTGCTCCTTTCACTGTCTAGTCACAGGCTAGGAGATGAACAAGATGTGCAAGCATTACTTAACTGCAGTAGACAAAAATGAGGTCTTATGTCCTGCTAGACAAGGCTGTGCTGTGTGGCAGGGCAGAGTAAAATGTCAGTGTGGGCGGACAGTGGTTGGGAGAGGGGAGACAGTCAGAAGAGCAGACTGTGGAAATGAGGGAGAGGGGGAGAGAGAGGGAGAGAGAGAGGGAGAGAGAGAGGGAGAGAGAGAGGGAGAGAGAAAAATATTGGACAGAAAGCAGCTCAGTTCACAAAGCTAACACACCAGAATAGAGCTGCAGCTAACGATTATTTTCAAAATCGATTAGTTAGCCGATTATTAAGTTCGATTAATCGGTTAATCGGATAAAAAATAAAATACATTTTAAAAAATGGCTCCAATGATGGGACTACTAGTTATAAGGGTGCTTATTTTTTTTAAATGGGACAGTTACTTTTAGCCAATAAGATCTGAAAATTTACAGACACATGACGGAAAATAAGGATCTTTATCCCCGTGTTAACGTGACCCGTCAAGATAAATAATCCAGATGAAAGATCTTTTACACGCAACTCTACAACTGACCACGTTTTCTACCTTCCCTCCGTTCCTGCTCTGCAGCTTCCGTAGGACTCCTCGGAATTCAACATTTCCAGGAGTAAAGGATGTCTGTGTCCCCTGCTATGCACCATGGTTCCTTCCTCAGACCTCTATGTCACAACAATGTTTGGAGTGATGTAGGGGTAGGAGGATGGACCCATAGAAGTGCTAAATACCTTAAGAAAGGAAAGGTAGGAGACACAGGTTGCTGGAGAAGAGAGTATAGAAGCACTTCTATTGCAGGGACCTTTCATCCAGATTTATTAACCGGACATGGATTTTTTTTTTTTAAAGCTTTGTAAATTGAGTCTACCTGCATGTTTGAACTCGTGTTCCTACCTCATGTAGGCAAGAACAACAGTTTGCACCCTTTCTCTACTTGTGAGAAGCTATGCCCAGCTCTCTAAAACAGTCAGCACTTTGTGATGCACAGTGATGGGACTTTATTGGGACACGTTAATGAATTCAGAGGATAAAGTGGTTGGAAAAAAAAAAAATACAGCAGAGCCAAAAGAAGAAGGGGCCATGGTGCAATGGTGTGCAGCTCAGATGGGCAATCATGTGTTAACTGGATGGCCTACAGACTTACAACCATACAGTTGGATAATCACCAGCCCTCACACATCTGTATCCCAAATAGTTGCTGTAACTATTTGTTGGTAAAATCTATCTCAATAGCTAAGCTGGGAACAGCAGCATTTTCTCTTACCTTAAAGGAGAACTATGAGGTGAGCGATTTCCACTAATCCTTATAGTTAAAGCCGATGTGTGACAAAGAAACTGGACAGGTTGGCTCTATTGATCGGGAAGTGAGCAGAAACATGCAGCAATCTGCTCACTTACTGATCATTTCCCTGCAGTGAGCGGTGACTGTCAGTCACGGCTCCCCGGAGGGCCCCCCCCCCCCCTCTCCGATCCTCCAGCACTGAGTGGAAAAACAAATCGGAGAGGGGGCTGGCACAGCAGGCTCTGTCTCTAGATAGGCAGAGCCAGCTGTCGCTAATGCAGCTGGGTGGATCCCAACAGTATTATCGGGATCCGTCCCGGCTGTGGCGTTCTCAGTATATAGTGAGCTGTAGCTCACGGGAGGACGCTAGTATATGTCCTGCGTGAAAAACACTTACCCCATAGTTCTCTATATAGTGAGCTTTGGGTCACGGGAGGACGCTAGTATATGTCCTGCGTGAAAAACACTTACCCCATAGTTCTCTTTTAAGGGTTATACATTGTTTAAGTCTATATAAAGCTTATAGCGGCTGTTAGTTGTAGGAGAACAATGTTACCTCTATACAAGTGTAAAATAACAAAAATGTTTCAAAGGTGTTTTACCTGAAAAAAGGCTTGTAGTGAGTACAATGTTCCATACCCAACGATCTCCACCCAGCTGCCTATAGAAATTACTGGACACGTAGCCAGAGATACAGCATGTGAGTGCATACAGTAATATAGCAGCAGAATTTATAGCACCATGTCTGTGCACATTAAACATTCCCAGAAGAACCATTACTATGATACCTATGGGAGGAGAACAAAATTATTAATAACTAAAAAACATTTTTTTTAACTTATACCAAATTTTTTAAATTTGAATGTCTTCAACTATTACCTGTTCCAAGTGCCAGGAATTGGGAACCTACTCCAAGTATGGCACACAACAGACTTCTATATGGGGGAAAGCGGAAAACGTCTGTGTGAATGATCTTCCATCCGTTGTCACCTTGTTCCATGTCATCCGTCCCTTCCTCGTCTAGGTTGTACCGTGCCAGATCACTTTTGAGAACACGCATGAGAATGATGACCACAAAACCCAAAAGCAAAAAGACTAGTACCATGGAATTAATGATAGAGAGCCAATGAATCTCCAGACTTTTGGGAAAGAAACTGTTGTCCCTGAGACGGTCCCCACGCCTTTCATAAGTCACAGTGGTTGGGAACCAACGTACACTATATGTGTGGGTCAAACTAAGAGGCTCTCTGACATCATCCAAGCTAAAAGGTTTCACATCTCGAACACTAACATTGGCAAATATGATACGGTCCTCATTATACTCAATGTTGAAGTCCAAGTGAGACCACAAGCCAATTTTATGAGTGTGTGGCAAGAAGCCACTCTCCTCCATGTAGCCTACAAAGCCACGGATCGGTATATCATCCAGCACAAACTCAAAGTAGTAGAGTTCTTCAATGGCCTGACGAAGCTCTTCTACCTTAAGGGAAAGAAACAGAACACCATAAGACAACAGAGCATCTCCATACATAGAACATCACTTTATATAGCCCAAAGAATAAGCATAACATATGTAAATATGCATATGGTGACTGTAGAAAGTTAAGCAACAATACGGATGAAACACCTTACTGCACTGTAAGACTTTTATATGCTCCTAGTCAGACCTTCAAATCCAGACATGAGCACCAATATGTACCCACTTATGTGAACCACATAATAACCAATATAGGCAAGGAGAAACAAGATCAGCACATCACTGAGAAGCTGAAGAAATTAAACCGTACAGAGGTCATCAATATGAAACCGGAGCAGGTCAGCATGGGAAGACTCTACCTCCATCCACTTCCGTAGAGCTCTCTCTGTGCTCCATGCTAAACAACCACCTACAGTAACCTCAGGTGGACTTGATATGATACCGGAAAGATGCTATTCATACGCAACAAAGCTCATCTAGGAAAGTTTTCTTTAAAGGGTTATTAACTCCTTCATGACTGAGGCCCTTTTTTCCATTTTTGCACCCATGTTATATTCCACATTTTAGGCCTGAAAATGACGTAAAACCCCCCAACATTATATATTTTCTGAATGCCAAGACCCTATAGAATAAAATGGTGGTAGTTGAAAATTTTTATGTTGCGTTTAAAAAAAAACCCCTTTGGAACAGGTTTAAACTTAACTGTGTCTTCGCCGTGCGCTCCTGTCCGAAAATCTGAAAAATCTCGGGTGGCCGCAAAGGAACTTGGGGCGGGCGCATGCGCAGTTCAGATTTTCGGCCGGGGGGAGACGAGGAGAGACACAAGGTAAGTCTATGGACAGCGTGCACCCGCATGCAGACACCGTGGGACAGGAAGTGCCAGCAAGCACAGATAACTCAGCGCTGGATCGGAGACCCGCAGCAGCGCTGAAGAGAAGGCTGAAAAGGACAGGAAAGAAGAAGATCGGATTAAGAGACATCATTTAAGGTAAGTGCTGACACTAACATTGGGGAAGTGAAAAAAAATGTAGACTTTAATATGTGGATATTAAAGCAGTTTCCCTCATATTCTGGAATGAATGACCCACTTGGAAAAGTCCTACCAAACACGGGTCAATAGGCTGCATAAACCTTGGGTTGAGGTAGGAAGTATCTATACTTCTGAGGAAAACCCTAAGGTATAAAATCCATCATGTTAAGCTGGATGATGAGGGCCGATCTATTCTTGTTGCAGTATTTACAGAAGTGCCTACAGTACTTGCTAATATATGGAATTCTAAATTTCTAAGCAGGTCTTAAAAAAAAGCAGTACTAGTTATCATATAAAGGTAGCTAGCAGACCATAGATGTGGTAGTGGTTGCATTAGTGCTCTTTTTTTCAGGCGTTGAATATATTGCAAGTACAGAAAAATGCCTAGTGATTTTGCTAAAATTCCAGTGTTAATGTCATTGTCTGTTGTCTGTGCATTGAATATCTAAATTTTATCCAATTTCCCAGCTATCTTCTGTAAACTAAAGAACATTCACCCACCCTCCTAGTGGAAAGGTGATGAGGCGAGGGAAAGGTGCTTGTATTCTAAATCAAAAGAGCAGCCTGGGGTGACAACACTGCTCCTCCATAGATAGAGTACCATTGGTGTGTGTTGCCACCCTATAAACAGGAAGTGGTAACAGGTGAAAATAAAAGGAAAAAATGATTCAGTCAACACAACACAACTGTCGGGTCAGGAAACCGAAACTTTATTTTAAATTTTAACAAATTTTTAAAAATATTTTATTTTTATTTATTCATTTTTTGTTAAATATTTTTATTTTTTACTTTACTTTTGGGGGCTTCGGGGAAATATTATTAGGGATCTAAACAGACCCCTGATATTTCCAATTTAAATTAGAAAAAGAGATTGAGGACACAGGGTCCCCAATCTCTTTTTCTGCATCCCCTGTTATCAATGAACAGGAATCCTCTATACTGAGTGTTTCTGTTCATTCATAACTTGTGCACATAGTATCTCTACTATAACCACAATCATGAATGAACATGATATAATTCATTCATAAATTGAGGATATAGTAACCATACTATGTCCTCACTTATGTACAAACACTCAGCGTTCACTGATCGCTGAGTGTTTGTACCCGCTCTTCATCCTGACAGATGTCACAGGAGGCTGAGTGAGCGGTGCGGGGAGGAGAGCTCAGCCTCCTGTGACAGCACGGGCTGTCTCCGCCAACACACCGCTCTGCCGGACTGTGACAGGAGGCTGAGCGGTGCGGGGAGGAGGAGAGACTTTAGCCAAAAGTGCCATTTTCGGCCGATATATCGGTGCATCCCTAATTGCATCCCTTGCTTTCAACATGGCAGCATGCTCCGATAGCCTAACTGTTGCTGAATGCAGGCCTTACATTGATAAAATGCACTGTCCCTGTTGTTCCTGTCAAAAAGATACCTTCAAAAAAGGCATTCCTCACACAATCCCTTAATAAAGTAAGGATTCAACTCAATGTGGATGACATCAACTAATTTCATTATTGATCCATTAATGTAAACTACTGGCTAAACTCCTTACCAAGCCTACGGATGGCGATATTCTCTGGAAAGCATAAACACCAAACTGGCTTTATGCCAGGCAAGTCAAACCTCAAGGAACATTAGAAAAAGCCCATACCCAAATAGAACATAAAGTACTGCACATGCAGAAAAACTAAATCCGTAACACCATTATTAATCCAGAAATCATTAACACATTAACTAAATTTGTGTGTGATTTTAATATTCAATTTTAGAACTAATTACGTTTTGTGAACAAAAACCACATATCATTGTACAGCTGGCCATACACCTATAGATTATCTGCAGATTTTCTATGGTCAGGTGGAAAAAGTGTAACAGATTCCTCCATCTATGCTAAACTGTGTGGATGGAGGAATCTCCCACTGGGCCAAGCTTTAGTATCTTGCCAGTCCGCCCCACTGGCTCTCAACATTCCTGAACAATGCCTGCATCCAATCAGATTGTTCAGGTGACAGCCAGCGGGGCCGACTAGCAAGATACTGAAGCTTGGCCCAGTGGGAGATTCCTCCATCCACACAGTTTAGCGTAGATGGAGGAATCTGTAGCACTTTTTCCATCTCCCCATAGAAAGTCTTTAGATAATCTATAGCTGTATGGTCAGCTTAAGAATATCATTCATTTAAGAAAAATCTTCCATCACTACGATAAATCGATTAGATAGACAGAAGAAATATTCCCAAAACGAATAACTCTAACCCAGGGGTGTGGAATTCGTATCGCCCGAAACATGTAGTTCCGGGCGCCGGGCAAGTGCTTTGTTTTAGCCCTGCTACGGACAAGTAGCAGGGCTGGTTTATTTTTTCTGAAATGAGCGCCGAGAGCGGCGCTGCGAGCGGGGGGCGCCGAGAACAGGGGGCGGGGACGGAGCGTTCAGAGCGGGGACAGAGCGTGGAGCGCTGAGAGCGGGGACAGAGCAGGGGGCTCTGTCACCTCCCTCAGCCTCTGTCCTCAGCGGCTGCTGTTAGATTCGGCCCCCGCTTTAGTCCTTGGACAAGTAGTTTTTTCTAAAATTTCCACACCCCTGCAACCATACATACAGCACCTAGCTTAAGTAATTACACCAACTTTAACTAAGTGGTATCTTAAACAATGCTAGATTAAACTTTCCATGCCAGGCACAGAACTTAAAAAGCTGAAAAATGTGCAAAAAAATTATAACCTTTGTATGTTACATCTTGTTCTTTGAGTGCGGTTGTTTTTTTATTATTCCCTAAGTATCAAGTATATAATACACATGCCATTTGTCCTCTTTTGGCTGTGTAACAAACAGTGTGCACCAAGGAAACTGAAAACAATTCAGTTCTAAGATCAGAGGAGCTGACCACAGTTACAGATTCAAATCAACAAAGAGCTGGAAATACCTTTGTTAGAGTCCATACAAAATGATGTCTATAGGCAGAAAACTCACATTAGAGAATGTGGGAACTTTGTTACCTAGACTGTGACAATGTGATGAGTAATTGTCAGATGATTCAATAGATTTTTGAGTAATGAATATTGCGATCCACCACAGAAAACAAAAAGCTCACTAACCGTTCATAGCTAGAGATCGGTTAAAGTGCTTGCATACAGAACTTATAATACAGGGCACATCCTATGGCAACCAATCATCTTCTCTCTTTCATTTTCAAATCTTAACGACACAAACTGAAGAGGTAAGCTGATTGGTTGCCATGCACAGCTGCTCCAGATTTTGATAAATTCCCCCCATTGTACTTAAAAATAGTGCTAATAGAGAAATGCAAATTCCAGTGCAAATATGTGATAAAAAAAGCTAGTGACATTTTACTGTGACACTGAACTTTTGCTCTTTGTTTAAAGTGACACTAAACTCAGAAGTTACATGTTAAAAACGCATTCAGGTACCTTAATTACCAAAAATGTCTCTTATTTGTGTATCACTGGGCTGTAGATCCTCAAATCATCTCTGAATTGGTGCTGACACTGTCCTTCCTTCTGGAGGGTGGCTACTTTTGTTCCCCACGGTCCCTGTGTGTTGTAAAGTAGTCACCTCTCCAAACTCATTCCTGTGATGGACTACAATCTCAGGTTTAGTTTACTAATTTGTATTGAGATTGTAGTCCATCATGGGAGCAAGCTTGGAGTGGTGGCTACTTTACAACACACACAGTGACCATGGGGAACAAAAGTAGGCACCCTTCTTAATAGCACTTTGGGATTCATTAATTGAATGGACATTTTGTACTTTATTGGATTGCTCTGAGCGCGGTTTTATAAAAAGGTATATTCATTTTATGATATTTCTACAGCTGCTAGTGTGATAAGTTTAATACATGTTTATATCTCACAGCACAAATTGTGGTTTTAATTTAAAGTGCTTGTATAACTCAACTTTGTTTTACATAGAAAAGGATTAAAACTCTTGACGGTGTATTTTCTCCTGTGTCTGCGATTCCCCTCGGAAATAACAAGATTTAGCACTCCACTTGTTCTGGTGACAACTGTAAAATGTTCTATTTCCTGTCACTTTCTGTCTCTGTAATAATGGTCACCAAGACAAACACACCAACCGAAAAAATAATTGATGGGGTCATAACCTTTCTCTACTCTATCCAAAAATATAAAAAGCATTGTTTGTTTATACATACACTTAATCGTATCATGACTCCAATCAAACTGAGAGTGGATCTGATACTTTTAAAGAACAATGAGATCCTTTTTTTATGCCTAATCCATTGTGAAATAAAAACAATGTTCTGGAAAAGCTCACCAATCCATTCACATTTAAACTACTTTCTGAAGCTCTTTTTTAACTCACCTAACTACACCATCTTTGTCCCCCGCCAGCATCAGTGATTATGCCCTGCAGTACCAAACAAATCACCTCTTCATGATGTCATCAAGCTATGCAATTTTGTGGAGCACGAGAAGACCCCACCACCGGACAGCAAATGGCAGGTGTTTATGTCATCCAGCAATAAAGTAGATCCCTAAAGAAGGACCCACTTTCTCTGCAATGCATACCTCAATGTCACATGCCCATGTAAAAGAGGAGAAAATATTTACCTGACTAACAGCCAGTTTCAGCTCACATAGAGGTTCCCTCTCAACATTAACACGGAAAGTAAACTTGTACATAGATTCTGCCATTCGATCTCCATCCAGAACTTCTCCCAATGTCAGGCTCTTGTGGCGGATTTGTGGGGGGGCACACACTGGTAGCTGGTAGTAGTGATATGTTTCCTGTGGGTTGTGATATGGTCCCACCTTGTTTACATACAACATCACTGAAGCGCCTTGCTTGTATCGATTGTCCCCTGCAATGGGTGCTGGAACTACAAGCAACATGCAGAGGAGGGCAATTGAATGAAAAACATCCATGTCTAGGAAGAAATAAAAGAAAAAGGAAAAACATGATTGAGTCCTGGCTTATGATCTGAAATGCATTTTATATATGGAATGCAATAAAGACTGGCATATGGGTCACAATAATAATCTTACAATGCATGGATGATGGAGAGATTAAAAAGGAGAACTATGGGGTTAGGGCTTTTCACCATAGTTCTCCCAAGGGTCACGGGAGGACACAAACTAGCGTCCTCCCGTGACCCAAAGCTCAGTATACTGCAAGCTACAGCTGGCGGTATACTGAGACGCCGCAGCCGGGACGGATCACAACATTACTGTTTGGATCCACCCAACTGCGTGATTGACAGCTGGCTCTGCCTATCTAGAGGCAGAGCCAGCTGTACCCGCCCACTGTCCGTACCGCCAGTCAGCGCTGGAGGAGTGGGGGAATCCCTGCAGGGAGCCGTGACAGCCACGGATCTCTGCAGGGATAGATCGAGAAGTGAGCGAGCGACGGTATGTGTTCACTCACTTACTGATCTATTGAGCCGACCTGTGACAGTTTCATTGTCACACGCTGGCTCGACCTATGAGGCTGAGTGATTTTCACTCACCTCATAGTTCTCCATAGCCCTCCTTACCATCTTGTCTTGAATTGTGATTGTAATGTCTGCCCTATATTGTAAAGCGCTGCGCAAACTGTTGGCGCTATATAAACCCTGTATAATAATATTAATAAAGTAACTATTTCAGAGCAGTAACAATTTGTGGCAATAACTACATAAATTTGAGTTTGAAGTGTAAAACCATTAAAAAAAGTGACCAACTGCTCAGTGTAGGAAATAAAGTTTCGTGTGTGTGTACGCACAGCACTAAAAATCAGATAAAATCTAAAATAAGACAGTAAGGAGATAACGCAATGGTATATGAAGATATTTTTAAAGAGACAGTCACCTTGTTCATATATAGCAAAGTGACAGCACCTCTACATAGGGCCAAACCCCTTATACTCACCTTGCCTGTGCTCCCTTTCTCCTTCCTAGTTTGCAGCCATAACTAGAATGAGCAGTGTTGGAGGCTCATGGATGTGATGTCACTTCTTCTGTCAAGTGGCAGTGCCTAGGCCTAGCAACTGCCTGATAGGCCCCTTTAAGTTACTTAAAAATATCTCACAATGTTGTGCTTTTGTAAAACCTTCCCATGCATGTGTGCAAAATTCTTACAGTGTAACTAAAACCAACCTTGTCATTTTGGTCATCCACCCTACCTTTTACAATCAGGGAGAGCCTTGTATTGACTGAAAGAATACAAGGCATTCTCCAAATGGTGGCAGTGGCTGGATAGGAGAGATAACGAGCCTTCTGGGGAGGAGAGATAATGAGCCAAGCTGTAGCCATAAAAGATCATTCCTGTAATTCACCTTTAAAACCAGTCTGATTTTATTTGTTTTTTTATGTCATGGATTTCTCTCCATTTTCTGTTTGGTAGACACAACGGAAAGGGGGGAAGGAATCCCCTCTAAAATGAGGGAACAAGAACACGTGTCCAAAATGAAAGGTTTCACCTCTATTCCTGTTCTAGTGACAATTCAACATTTTGAAATGTCCCTCACTTTCACTCCCTGTGATGTGGCCCAATAATCACCAGGACAAATAAAGTGAGACAGCAATAAAGGCCTAACCGGGGTTCTAAACCCTCTCCAGCTAAAAATAAAAAAAGTTGTGGCTTTAGATACACTAAAAACAACAAAAAAACGTTTTTCGCTTTAGCTGCACTTAAAATCGTATCTAGCCAATTGTGTTTCTCATTTTGGAATCTCTGTGAAGTCTTGCCCCTGCTGAGGAACTTCATTCTATTTGTCCTAGTGAAAGAAAGTGATGAGAAATGTTACAGTTTTCACAGAACAGGAATATAAGTGAAATGTTCCAATTGGGAGCTCAGTCCATAAATGTCACTTGGTTTGCCTGAAGAAGGAACCATTGTGCGTTCCAAAACGTTGCCATACATTGGATGTCAATAAACAAGGTCGGACATTCTTGGAATTCAGGAGTGCTGGTGATTTCTTCACTTATTAGTGATCTTCCAATGGGGGGCACTTGTCTCTGGAAACAACTGTCCAAAGTAGGATTTACCTACACTTTGGAGAGACTCTTCTTCTTTCCTTCTAGGAAGTCAGAACTCAAAATATATATTTTAACCATTCCCTAACCAAAACTAAAACAGCTCACTGTATCATTACTAATAACGTATGGATTGGCCACATGAACTGTATGGTGTGGCTAAAGCTGGCTACACATAAGCTGATGTTTTGTACGTTGTTTTTCAGGAAGTGGCCATTACAAATACTGCAATCATTGCATTGCTGTCTATGTAATGGAGGTTATTAAACTCTACTTTGTATGGCGTGCTGATCATTAGTACAAGTGTCATGCAATTGATCATGTGTGCACAACCTGTGTGTTTGTGGTTTAATATGTTGACAATGCCTGTATTAGCTCCTGATCACACAGCCACTAGAGATGTGTGCCCATTACAGACATGCTGCTGTCATAGATGTCACAGGTGAGGTTACCTAGAAAAGCCACTATGGCACTCGCAGAGCTCTCACTTCCTGGTCGCCCCGTCTCCTGCTGCTACTTCACTCCCCGTACACCTGCAAGTCAGCTGCAGGCTGGGTACACAAGACTGCCGTCTTCCAGGTGGGCTAGGCTGCCATCCTCTTCATCCTACCCGCTGTCCGTCTCCAGGGTTCCTGACAGTTTCTGTGGGGGTCCTTCACCTCTGCTGACGTCACTGGAGGAACATTCTTCTGCCAGATCCGGTGTGCATGAGAACCGTCTGGTACCGTCCAGGAAGCGCCGGATAGGCTTTATCGTAAAGGTCACGCTTGGCAATGTCACGCCTTTCGTTGTCCTATTTCCCTCACACTTACCGCCACGACAGCTAGGATAGGGGTCCTTCAGGCACTGAGTTAGACATACCTAACACGTCAGCACACGGGTCCTCGTGTGGGCGTGGCATGAGACATGTCAATCAAGAGTGAGCTACAAGCTGAGAGACCAATTGCAGGAGGGGGTGTTAGGTTGTGATTTGAATGGCGCCTGGATGTGACAAGTCTACAACGCTGGGAAATAGCTGCCGTCGTTTTAGAGCAGTGGCTTCTTAAGGGAGCTCCTAGCGGTTTGTTTTTTAGTGGAATTGTACTTTTTTTTGGTGTTTTAAATAAAGTAGGCAATGTTAAAACCATTGTAGATTGCCGTCTGTGGCCCATTGGAGATAATTCCTTTCACTTCCTGTCCCAAAGACACAAGGGGACGTTAGAAAGAAATCTCCCCAAAAGGAGGAGAAATCTTAGCAGGTGTTCCAATCGGAAGATGTCCCCTCATTTCCTGTTCAGGTGGCAACATTTTTGACTTCCCATCACTGTGTTTAGCAGAGATCATGGTCACCAGGACCAATAGACAAGGGTTAGGGCCGGTGCAGACCTGAGCGATCCGGGACGCGCGGCCCAGGGTCGTGCACAATTGCGGCTCCATTGATTTCAATGGGGTACATCCGTCGGCAATCACAGAAAAAAGCTACATGTACCTTTTTTTTCTGATACACGACGCGCAATCCACCCGGCGCGACTGGGGTGCCATTAGAAAAAAATTGGCACCCACACCACGATCGTCGGTGATGGTTGGCAATCCGCGTGGTATAATGCATGATTGACACGTGGTCACGGGTCGCCCAGGTGTGCACCTGGCATTAAGTTCTGGCTTCGTCTAGGGAGCTACAATAAAGAGATGCTCACCCACTCAACCTGGCTGGCTGCTTGACCTGTCCCCACAGCCTCACTCCCCCCTCCACTCTGGCAGTGTACAGTCCATTGGCATTCTCATGCCCAATATACTGTATTGGATGTGATGACTCAGGTTATTAGACCACCAGAGTGGAGGGGGAGGAAAGCCGCAGGGACTGGTCTAGCAGCCAGCCATGTTGAATGTTCGGGTGAGTATATCTTTGTTATTTTAGCGTTCTAGACAAAACAAGTCCTTAAAGGAGAACTATTGGGTCAGTGTTTTTCCCCATAGTTCTCCTTAGGGTAACGGGAGCACACACAACTAGCGTCCTCCCGTTACCCTACAGCTGGCGGTATACTGAGACGCCGGAGCGGATCCCGACATCGATGTTGAGATCCGCCCAGCTGCGTGAGTGACAGCTGGCTCTGCCTCTAGATAGGCAGAGCCAGCTGTCACTCACGCAGCTGGGCGGATCTCAACATCGATGTCGGGATCCGCTCCGGCGTCTCAGTATACCGCCAGCTGTAGGGTAACGGGAGGACACAAACTAGCGTCCTCCCGTTACCCTAAGGAGAACTATGGGGAAAAACACTGACCCAATAGTTCTCCTTTAACCCTTGCAGTGCGGGGGTAGCCTCACTGCAAGGGTTAAGCTTTCATATGCTCAGATTTCTTAAAAGTGGACCTACTGATAACTTCACATGGTATTAAACGCTCAAACTTTTATTTAATAATGAATCCAAATCAAGCAAATATATACCTCTCAGAAGTCCAAAAAAGTATTCTTCATCCTAATTTAAACAAACAAAAATAGAATTATAAATGATCATTAGAGTCGGAGGCACAGTGGACTCTCAATCTGGGACACACTGTTACCTCCGGGATTGGATGAGATGCTCAGATATATATGTTCGCAATTCGACAATTTATGACATTGGTATTTTTTGGAATAAATAGAAGAGACAGGACATACCCTTTATGAATCATAAATTAATGGAAACTGGGATCGATTACAGATTACTCTAACATAGGCATATTAGGGCGTGTATCCCCAATGGGGATCGGATGCCTCACTTAGTGAAGAACATGGGGTGTTGGCATCGACGGAGTCCTCTGCTGGGACCTCTGGACTTCACTCCTGTGTCCCCCTGGCCTTTTTCCATCGCCAAGTGCTCACCGTACCTAACGTGCTTGGACAGCTGTCCTTTTGCATGCTAAACGAGGGGGTGGCCCTTGTGGATCGCTTCCCTCGTTACTGAGGTATCGGCGGATGGGGATTGCAGGACGCATGCACGGCTTACCGGAGCATGCGCAAATGTGAGTCCACATCGCCGATCGGCGCCTGGAACACCTGTGTTCGGTGCGTCCAACTCGGCTTTGGGGGTTACTTAAGGGGTGGGATGTCACTGAGGCCAGTGCAGAGAGCGTACCATTTGGAGCTGAGAGCTGAGGACAGCACACCCTTATACACTTCGGATTAGAATGAGGTAATTTCTCTTCCCCCTCTTTTGTTCATTTTGGGTTTTGTTTTTTTTGGGTTGTCACTTATTTGAGGCATTGATTTTTGTTGCTGTGCTCCAATTAGTGGGGATTCCACACACCTAACAGCAGTGTTCATCAGTATATATACATCCCATTTGGGATTTGGGAAACACACATGCGGCTGCCATGCTCTAGACTGCAGACACACATATATATATGTGATACACATTCACTAACAGCAATTGACTTTCACCTAAGGAAACGTAGGAGCAATTTTTCACGTATATATGTGAGTATATATTTATATATTTATTTTCTTCACTCACATCACTTATCCTTGAAAGAAGGTATTATTGCACTAAGTCCATACAAACACATGCCTATTCATAGAACATGGCACACTTAAAAGGTTGTATAGAGTAGTAGCCAACACTGGCTAGACCACATATATGTGTGTGTGTGTATGTATGTATGTGCATGTATATATAATATATATATGTATATGTGTGTGTGTATGTATATGTATACATATATATATTCAAACTAAGTTATTTTGCAATTTGCACAATGTCACTCACTGGGTCTATCAAATAACAAGCAATATCATTAGTTGATCTTTGCTATATGCTCTCTACAGGTCACCGCTCCGATTGGGATCTGGCTCTCTTGCACTGCCTAGGGCATTCCTTCCTTTGAGGCCCCGGTAGAGATGATGGACGGTATGTGATGGCAGGGCTAGATTTAACCACCCACCTCATCCCAGTCCTCCTCACGTCGACCCACCTCCAGGTGCGCCATACAGGTGAGTACCAGACACCTGCCCCGTGTGTGGTTTTCCGCACATGGGGGTTAATTCCAGCAATGTGTTCCCCCACTTAACATAGGCACTACAGCAAGATGGGCATGCCCAAACTAAGGAAATACAATAACCTTATGTACAATTTCCATTTAATAGATGAATCCTATCCCCTGTAGAAGCTTGAAAGGCGAAACGCCTAGGGATGAATGTTGATATACATACTTTGGAGATTACATAATGAATGCATCAATTGGAATCAATTACGGCTGATATGTATCAGAATTTTATTTTATTAAATCAATTTATGCATTATGGGCTGCCTATTAAGAAGGGATAAATCATGTTGGTTAAAATTGGGATTTTATATCCACTAATGTATGTAATGATGTTATTTATGATTTCTTATCAACTAAAATGATTTTTATGTACAATAAATTTGAGATATTTTTATGCATGGCTCGATGTACATCTCTCCACAAACCCTTCGTTCACCCCCTTCTTTGTCTATAAATATATGCGGTACATTGCCCAGCAAAGTATTTCTTTATGTTTTTGAACAGCTGGCTCCAACTCTTTCAGCTTGGCTTCCCAGAACGTCCTGTCCTGTACAAGATCACAAGGGGCAGTACAGTCTCCACCAGCTGTCCATCTGTTAGCTTGGAGTAGGGAGGAAGGAGGCCTTGTGTGTTTCTGGATGCACATACAGCTTACTAGTACACACAAGGGTGGTTCCATAGGACCCTGCAAAGATATACCCTAAAACAGGATATCAGGGCCAGTGCTGGGGTAATAAATTTGGTAAATGTTACACATACAGTATATGCAACTTAGCCTTTATATGCAAACATTATATCTGATGTAGGTTGTACTTTAATTTATCTAACTAAAAGGAAAACGATCAACAGCAGCAACAGCATATGAGGTAAACATAGAACAAACTTGAACTTGTAGAATAACTCTTTCCTGTTGCAATGTTATTTCACGAATGCCCTCAAGAAACTGAAGAGTGGGTGCACCAGTTATACTCACTTCTCTAGCAAAGGGGAATCCGGAGAGGATTTTTTTTAATCATGAAAACCTGTACCTAAAAAAAACTACTTGCAGAGTCTTAGCGGTCTATTTATAAATAATTTGCAGTTATTCGCCTTGCGATTTGCTGTGAACATTCGTTCTGTGCGTAGAAGTAAAAACTAATGTTTGTAGTATATTTTCTTTTCAGGTCGAATGCAATTTAATACCACATTTGGCTTCTAGATGGAGCTGATGAGCATAAGAAATAATAATTTATATCCTATGCTCCTCAGCTCCATCTAGTGGCCATAAGGTGCTATTACATTACATTCGACCTGAAAAGAAAATGTACTATCACCAATGTATTCTAGTTCACAGTATTACCGCTGTTCTATCAAAGATTGTGACTGGGTTGGAATGTGTGACCGGTCACATGGTCAGGCATTTTAACGCAATCCCACCCGGTTTTTCAGCGGTGGATTAGGTGACCGGCAAAAGGTGAAGAATTCCAACACTGTCAGCTGTTCCAGGTCAGATCGGCATCGCAGATCGTATGTGCAGGAGAACC